CTAATGAGAGTTCACCAAGGCCAGTTGGACTGCGACTGAACGAGCACGTGATCCAACCAGATTCTCTGAATGTGGCCGGATTCTCTGAATGTGGCTGGCCTGGAGTCTTTCTGAGAAGCCATTGACAATGACACTGGGACTAGTTTCCTCTGCATATACTGGAATTTTGGGATCCAGTCTGTTTGGATACTCACCTTCCTGGACCTGGAGGGAGGGGGGAGGAACTTGAACTTCCCACAGGGCAGGAAACCCTGACTGCCCTTAGGGACAAAGAGCGAGGAAGAGAGGGAGGGGGGGTGTGGGAGGGTGTTGGGAAGAGGGGCGGAAATGGAAACTTTTATAATTTAATAAAATTACTTTCAAAAAAAAACGCACAGTGTGAACGGAAGTGCCGTAAACTTTTGGTACTCATGGCAACAAGCAGTTGCAACAAACAAAATTAGCATCCCCCCTCCAGATTGACACTCACCAAACCCTGTTTATCCAGATCTTTTCTGTTTAACTCTGCAGTTTTAGCAGTTCAATAATTCAACTGTGAATCTGTTAAGGCGCGTTGCTTGCCAACCCCATCACACGCTCAGGCTCATTTGCTTGTGTCTTCCTGCGGGGAAATGGTTTGTCTGTGTAGTGGCCCAGAAAACATCTTTCTCCCATGCTAATTAAAAAAAATAAAATAATAAAAAAAAAGATTCTGGAATACCTGAAAAAAATCTTAAGCTTACAAAAAAGTCATGCTGGAAATATTGGAGACCCAATTTTAAAATATATTGTAGAGCCATAGAAAAAAATTAACTCACTTTTGCACTGACTCCCAAATATACACAGGGATTAATGGAACAAAATAGAACGCCCAGCAATGAGCCCATAGAGCTACAACCACTGATTCTTGGCAAAGGTACCAAAAAGATACAGTGTGAAAAGCCTCTTTAGCTAATGGTGCTGGGGAAACTAGCTGTTCACATATTAAGGTCTGTAAATTGATATTGCCTTGTACAAAAGTCAGTTCAAATGATTAACTGCCTTAATGGAAGACATAATATTTTGAAATTGCTATGAAAATCCATAGATAAAACAAGTGCATGAAATAATCGCAAAACTGACAAACAGCATCACATGAAATCAAATGGCAACAGCATAGCAAAGAAAACTAACAGAGTGAAGAGACAAAATATAGAATTGAAAAAAATCTCTACTTGCTACTCCTATGACAGAAGATTAAGATCCAGAATATATAAAAAGCTAAAAAATATTAAACATAAGAAAGACAAATAAGTCAATAATATGTTCAAATAGCAAATGTATGAAAAGATGTCCAACATTCTGAGCCAAAAGGAAAATATAAATTAAAAATTCATTGATATTTTGTCATACTCCAGTAATAACAAAAATGAAAGCAAAGGTTGGGGGATATAAGAAGAAAGAAGCCGCATGCACTTTTTGAGTAAATTAAAGTAATCCAGCCACTATGGAAATCAGTGTGGGGATTCTTAAATGTGCTAGAAATTAAGCTACCATGTAACACAGCAGTATCACTCTTAGGTATGTGACCAAAGGAATCTAAGTCAGCATACCATAGTGTCCCTACACGTCATAACTTATTATGTTACTATTTGCAATAATCAATTTATGGACTCTGCCTAAAATTTATTTAATACATAAAGAAAATGTGACTGATATACATATTGTTTTATTTGACCATGAAGAAGAAAATCAACATGCTGTTTGCAGAAACAAAGGATACTGGAGATCACCGTGTCAAGTGAAGAAGCAAGACTCAGAAAGACAAATATCACATCTTTTCTCATTTATAGAATCTCATTGTAGATTTTTGTAGATGCTGTGAAAGTAGAGTGAGTTCTATTTGGGAGGGTTGGGGGAAACACAGCGGGGTAAAGGGACAAGAGAGGGTTATGGGAATTAATGTGGATAACGGACATGCATATCTGAGATATCACGATTCAATGATTATTTTGTATGACTAATACATGCTGGAAATTTTAAACCCCTAAACAATACACACCTCTGTTGTCTGTGACTTTGATACTGCAACATCATCTGAACCCTTGGTTCCATGTCTACCAATTCTCTTTTGTTGATCTCTTCCTTCCTGCTAATCATGCTCATTACTTAGTCTCTCAACCACCTTAGTAATTGTGTGAACACCTGCTTGTATTTCATAGTCATCATGATGTTCCCATGAAAGCAAACAAACAACCTAAAAAATTCAACTACCAACACAACTAAGCATCGGCAGGTTTCCAAGGAACAGTTTCACAGACAAATTCTCTTTACTTCTTGGTTCGAATCTTCCCTCTGTGTGTGGAGGGGTAGCAATTGTAAAAATAGACAAGTATTAAGTTGGTAAGAAGATATAAAAGATGCTTTCGGTGACCTCTGCAGCTAGAGCAACTTTATTTAATTTCGGAAAGGTTTTCTCAAGTTCTTACTACACTGGGATCAGGGTGGGGGACCCAGTCACTCAATGACCAGAGTTCAAGAGAACAAAGATTGTAAGTTCCAAGCTGGAGCTTTGCTAAGGATAAGGAAGGGGGTTGCGTTAAGGACAGAATGGAGGAATTAGCTGTTTCCTTGGACAAACTCGTGTCTATCATCTTCAATGAGTTTCTGACGTCCAGTGACTAGAAAGGAGATATTCAGATTCACCACCTAGGAAAGGCTGTGGAAAACAGCTCGATGAATTTTAAAAGTTTTGATTTCATCTAGGTTCCAAACAGAAAGCCTTCAGAATAAAAGCTGGCTTACTTATGTGCAGGACATAATCTTGTATTCAGATGTCCCTGTTTTTGATGATTCTATATGATTTTATTTCTTTGCATATGCCTTGTGCTTCATTTCACGGAGTACATGTTTAAAATATTTAATACTCCTGAGCATGGTCATTTATGCCTTTATTCCCAGCACCCAGGAAGCAGACACAGCAGATCTGTGTGACTTTGAGGCCAGCCTAGTCTAGATAGTGAGTTACAGGCAAACTGGAGTACACAGTGAGATCCTGTCTCAGTAAAATTGTATGTGTGAATATAACTGTATATGTAATATATATATGTGTGTGTATATATATATATATATGTGTGTGTGTGTGTGTGTGTGTGTGTGTGTGTGTGTGTGTGTGTGTATTGCATATGTGTTCAGACCGGTTCAAGCTGGTCGAGGCCTGTTCAACTGTTCGAGGCTGGTTCAGACCGTACCAAACCAGTGAAGACCAGGTCAAACTGGTTTAGACTGACTCAGATAGGACCAAACCGGTTTAGACCAGTTCGAGCGAATTCAGATAAGACCAAGCCGGTTTGGGCAGGTTGCAACCTGCTCAAACTGATCGAGACTGATTCAGACAAGACCAAACCAGTTCAAACCGGTTCAAATCGGTCAAGACCAGGCCAGACCAGTTTAGACTGGTTCAAACTGGTAGAGACAGTTTCAGACCGGACCAGGCCAGACCAAGCCGGTTTAGACCGGTTGTGACCGGAAAGCAATGCTATCCTCTGATCAAATCTAGACATTTATTAAAATCCCTTCTATGATGGTTAATCTCAATAGTCACCTTGATGAGGTCTGGGGTCGCCTGAGAGATAGACTTCTGTGTACGCCCTGTGGTGGGGGGTTGTCTTGATTAGGTTGGTTAAGGTGGGGAAACCCACCCACTGTGGGAAACAGTTTCATGAAGTAGGATCCTGGATTGTATAAGAAGAAAGTGAGTTGACATTTATCATTCTGCTTCTTAACTCTGGACCAGCTCCTGTTGCTATGACTCCCTTGCCTTCGTGACTGTCCCTTACATGAAGATAACACCCCATATTTTATTTTATTTTTCATTCCTCGAGACAGGATTTCTCTGTGTAACAGTTGTGCCTGGCCTGGAAATAACTCTGCAGACCAGGCTGGCCTCAAACTCACAGAGATCTGCCTGCCTGCATTCTGTCTTCCGAGTGTTGGGATTAAATACCTGAGCCCCAATGACGGACAAATAAATCCTTCTTTAAGGGACTTTTGCCAGGCCATTTGCTCAGCAAAACAGGAAAGGAGGTATCTACCTCACCTTCTGATTACCCAGTTCTGTGAAAGATCGTGAAAAAATGATATTGTGCCCCTTCTTGTTTTACATAATGATAATCCCATAGAGGAGAGGTTCATATATTTAAAAAACCAAATGCAGGACACAATATACTGAGACAGAGATCAACAGAAAGTGGTGATTTTGTTTCTGGATGATATTACTGTAATGGGTGTTTGTGAAGACATATCCAAGATCACTAGTATGGCATGGTACTGTGAGAACGAAACTTCTGAAGCAGATGTGAGAAAACCAGCATTGGGGAGTGGGGGAGGGGAAGCTGGCCAGAGGATGTGCACTTCTCAGAGGCCCTACTGGGGACTGGGATTTTGGCAAGTTCATTGCTCACTAGGAACGTTAAAAGTGGCTGTAGAGAGACCTTTGCTTGAAGATGAAGGATTTGGCTTTGGTGACACAGCCACACTCTGCCTTGGAGCCACATTTTACAACCCACTTTCCACACCTGCACTCAAACACAGCACAGAGGTCAGCACCAGACTCCTGAAACACTGCTGGGAGAGGCTCCTGGATCTTTCTACTCACTGCTAAGGGCTGTCGGGCACAGAAACCTGTTCTGCTCTGCATCCCATTCGAAACCATTCCCCATGCATGGACTATTTGCTTGTTTTACCCGGAGGAGAGGATGAAATCATTAACCAAGTAAATAAGACTGAAGAAAGAGAATGAACTGGTGGCCTCAAGGTTGTTGGAGAGGAGTCCGCGAGATGCTTACAGTTGAGGCCCACAGAGTGCGCATGCTCTGTCCCCGTCCTCCCGGTTCTGCTAGTAACCACCTTCATATGGCAGGCCGGGATGTGGACGTTGGTGACCACACTGCTATTAAGTTCTCTATGCTGTGGTGAGTGGCTCTGATCTCACAGTCGAGGGTTGTGAGCAGTTCTCGGTCAGCTCCGGATGATGGTTCTTGCCCAAGTGCTGACCTCAGAGGTCTCAACCTGAAATGGTGGCCCTCTGCCTTCTCCCTGTTGAAACCCCACTCCAGTGGTAACTGCACTTCGGCAAAACTGAATTGGCCGAGGGGAGGGGGGGCAACGCTGGGCATACAGGGTGAAAAGGATGTAAGTGCAAAGAACCCCACCCCAGGACCTTCCCAAGGCTTTAGATACTGAAGAACAAGAGTGGAAAGGTCCTGGATTCTTTTGATGAAGTGAGTACAGAAAGGGACTTTGCTCTTCCCACTACAGCGTCAGCATTGGGGATAAGAAAGTTTAAGGAAGACTTGCCAGGTCTCAGTCAGGAAGTCACTTTTACTAGAGAGCAATTGAAAAGCAGAGAAAAATTTATTCTCTGTGAGTATATTAGGAAACACACACACACACACACACACACAGGCTAGCTATACTGTGAAAGTCGTGGGCCAGGCTCTCATAGAATCGTATAGAAGTTATTATATGGCAGTGGCTTGGTTTATGTCTTCAGAAGTTTTCCACTGTGACATTTTAATCGACTGCATTTTTAAATGAAATCTGGGTTTTTCTATTCATTTATATGTCTTTATATTCTCAGCATGGTATATATGCATATACATATGTATATTTATATAAATATGTGTGTGTATGTATGCATATATTTTGGTAAATATATATATTTACCAAAAGACAGGAAAGAACTCTAAGGACCTAAAGAAAATAAAAGATTAGTCACTGAAATCAAGATTCTGATCACAGAGTCTAAGATTTTACCCAAATTAGTTTCTAATTCATGGGAGTTTGAGTTTAAGAATTGTTGATATACTTTTAGTTCAATTAAAACAAACATATAATTGATATTGCTAGCATTAATGGGAACTCGAGTACTTTTAGTTATGTCTGTTGCATCCTGAGGATCACAAGATTGCTAATTTCCTTGAGGTGAGAGAACACAACAACTGCTGATTCAAAAAAATCTTAAAATAAAAACCAAAATGATTGGAAAATGAAAACCAAACACATAAAATATGCAGGTTTCTCTGTTCCAGACTCATCTATTTGTCTTTTAAGTTTTTCTGAAAACAAAGAATAAGAAGGCCATCTTTATCTGGTAATAAAATTGGAAATGACTATCTTGGAATATTTGTGAAAAAATAAATTAGGTAAATGTGTGGAACAAGCATTTCTAAATAAGATTTTCATGTAACCTAAAGTTTTAAAGCTATAAAAAGCAAATGAGCTTCAAAATGTTTGAGTGTTTTCTAAGTAAGTGAAGTTCACATTTGCCCTTGATTTCATGAAGGCTGTTTTACAAATTTTGACCTCACCTTTTCCTTGTTTGAACAACATCCAGCTGAGTTCATTAGTGTTTCTCATATGTATATGTCACAAGGTCGGTTAGGACTCTGGACATTGGATAGGCTATCAGGAAGCTTGTCCCTGGAGGAAAGCATCCTTCCTTCCTCTCTTGCAGCCATTTATCTGTAGATCCTCATCCAGGGTTGGGGCCTTCTGAGATTTCCCCCTTCCATCTTGGGATGGCACATTATGTTATTATTGTGTAGGTTGTGTTTAGGTGACCATGCTCTTGAGATCCCTTGGCTTCCACTCCCTGTCATATATGAAAGACTGTTTGTAGCTATTTCAGTGGCTCTAACTATTCCCATCCCTATCATCTGAAATGTTCCCTAAAACTTAGGTGTAGGGATGGCTTGCAGATTTTTCAATGGAGATCTGCTGCTCTATATGCTTCTATTTTCTTGAAAAATAATTACGTACCTTCATATTTTTGAATCATGAAAGGGAGAAACATTGTCAAGATCAGATCTGTGTTTCTCACCATAGTCTCTGGTCTACTAAAAATGCAAAGAAACCCACAGCTCACCAAATAACCTATTACCTAATAAAGTTATGATTATAACATTATAAATAGATCAGTTATTATTAATTAATGTTATTAATGTGATAACTGATCTACTTGTTACTGCAATGATAGACTTTGACTTTTGTACAGGGTCAAACATTGAGACACATAAATTCATATTTTCCATTTCACCGTAGCTATGCCTAATGTCTATGAAGATACAGTAAAACGAAGAATTTGCAGTTAAATTAAGATTTCTATGTGAGATTTGACAACTCACAAATTTAAAACGCAGGTCCATAAATTATCTAAGATCTTTACTAGATCTCTAAGAATCTAGTAAATAGTCCTATGATGAAAAGGGGCCATGTTATTGGTCGCATCTCCATACAGGAAACTACAAATATATATGTCATCATATATGAAATCATCTGCTACATCACAATGGAATGTTTTTATTTTGAGGAGTGTATCAGCTGATCACATACTTAGGCATCATAATGACGCATTAGTAAAATAAATAAATGCATAAAGGTCCAGTGCAGTTTGTTATATTTCTGGATCCAATCTAAACATTGGTTGGCTCCTCTTACATTGCATCATTATAACCAAAGAAATTGTAGTCAGAGCAGTAAATTGCACACTATAGGTTCAGTCATTAGGTTTTTCACTCTTTAATAGTGATTATCAGCTTCATATAATTGTCAGAAGTATATTTCTAGTCAAGTGATATCTAAATGATGCCATAGCTAACCCACCATAGCCCAACAACTTCCACAGACCCTCCTGGTAGTGTTAGATTCAGGTAGCCTAAGAGCTCTAGAGTGCTTATCAGCTAATAAAAGCAACATTTGGGTAACTGTTAGCTGCTGATAAAAAAATCTTAAATTAAAAGTTTAAATTAAAGATTTAAAATCTTAAATTAAAAACCAAAATGAATGGAAAATAAAAACCAAACCCCACAGAATTAAGAAGTCTCACAATGTATATCTGGAATTTATGATGCATATAGCCAAGTAAGTGCTTTCAAGGTTAGGTTTGTAGCATAGTGATCACCAGTCTGCATTTTTGGTACTGTTCCAGATTATATTTTTATACTATGATCTTCAAGGAGTTTCTTGTCTGTCTAATCTTTATAAAACCAACTAACACTTTTGAAAGAATGTTAGTTCAGTGCTGTGAAGTGGACACTGCCTGTGAGAACAATAAAATATTTATACCACAGACGTGTTCAGACAAAGCCTTTCTTCCTGCCTCTTTTTTGCTCAAATGTGGTCTTGCCCATGCCTGTTCCCATAATGTGAGGCTGGAACAAACAAGACCAGGCTCAGTTTGACACTAAGGGATAACGAAAACTGATTGGTCAGCAACACATTAAAAAAAAATCTTGACCTATGGGGAAAAATGTAAAAATCTTTATGCCAATCATACCACAAGTTTGCTTAACAATGAACATCAGAATGTGCCTGGCAGGGGACTTGTGCTTTGGTTTTCTTGAACATAGTCCAGAATGTATTCCACTGTACTTATTTCAACTCATGGGCATGAATCTTCCACTTGATGGGCATTTATTAGTAACTATCCTCTTAGAGTAACATCTTATGCCCTTGTTTGCAGTTTTTGTATATATAGAAGAAGGAATAATTAGGGATTAATAAAGTTGATGTCTTATATTCATTAGCACTTTTTTGTGTGGTTGTGGAAAAATCAGCAGACTATTTAATTAAAAGTCTTGATAAATGAATCATATGGAAGACAACAGGTTTCTCAACATCCCTGTCATTTGAGTCAAATAATGAGCCTTGTATATGGTAGGGGACTCAGGGATGGCTTGTGCCATTAAGAAGAACCAAGAGGTGGTTCCTACCCATTAGCAGCATCTGCTCTTATTTCTTCTTCTGTAGTCTTTTGTGTAGCTAGTCGTTTACTGGAGGAAGAAGTCATTTATTTTTCTACCTCTCAGGCAAGCTAACTTCTCAAGTACTTAATACTGTTTTTCACCTTCCTGGTATCTACCATTGTTATGCTGTTTTCTTCCATTAATAATTAAAGCACTGTTACTGACGTATTCATACTAGACCTAAGATTTAGTACTACAGAATTGCATAATTATACCAAATTATTTGTATTACCCCTTCCCAGGTTCAGCCCAGATATTATTTAAAAATATTGAATCTGTAACAGTCACAGGTTGTGAAAAGAATGTTGTCATTCCATGCCATGCTACAAATATGGAGCCAGAAGCCCTCGGAGACGTGTACTTGATATGGTTCTTTGGAAAAACTCTTATTTTGTCCTTTGATGGATCTAAAAACAAATACTCTAGAAACCCTGCATTTCAAAGTGGACGGATTTCTACCTCAGCCTTTTTAAAAGGAGACGCTTCTTTGACGTTGAATAAGAATGAGGCAAAAGCAGGTAACTACACCTGTGCAGTCACGGAATTAAGCAGAGAAGGAAAACAGACGGTGGAACTAAAAAACAACCACAGTAAGTGACACACTTTAAATATGGTTTATCTCTGTGCATATACATCTGGAATCTGGATGGACCTTGTGATCATACTTGGGGTTAGAGACACCTTGCTGCTATTTTGAGGAGTCGTTTATCCATAAAGGACTTGGTTATTAGAACCAATGAAGATTACTGCAAGACAGATTCACCCCTTTATGCTTTTTATCTGTGGAATATGCCATATCTTCTTTGAGTTAATGCCATGTAGTATATGAGGGCCCATAGGTGATGTCATCAGAACATAGGATGTTGGCCGAGGGAGGCTGATAAGTACAAAAGTATCCACAGAACAAGAATGAGGATTTCTGTTCAGACATCTAGTACCCCAATGAAACATAGAATCTGTAACGCATATGTGTATCTTCAGAGCCAGTCCAGGAGTCAGGGCAGAGACAGTCCTAGCACTAGATCTTGCAGACAGGTAGTTCAGTCCATTCTGGGGAGCGAGGTTTACTGAAAAACCTGATGTCAAAAAATAGGTTGAAATCTGAGAAAGATAGACAACATCAACTCATAGTTGATACACATGTGCATACACATAGATATGCACTCACACACTGGACACACACATGCAAATAAACAAGAGAAGGAGAAAGGGGAAGACTGATCAGCAGCTAATGGGGCACCAATGCAATGACTGTGCTTTTCTCTATTTCTGTGACCATGTATGAAACCCAATCTGATGCTTTATAAACCGTCTTGCCTCAGTTATTCTATTATAGCAATGTGAAACAAACTTTTAAAAAATGGATTTTTATCAGCACCTTCTTTATCTATGTCCTGGTACAACAGATCTTACTGGAGAGATGACAAATGGGCTGAGAAACTATACTTAAAAAATAATCAGCTGTTACTACCAAGTACTAATATAATGTCTGTGGTGATTTAGTGCGAAATGACCCCAAAATGTTCATGTATTTGTTGTCCTACGCTGGTAAAATTTAGTTGGTTGCAGATCCTCTAGAAGTACAGTCTAAGTAGTAAAGAATGGGAGATCTCAAAGTTGAAGCTATCTTTGGTTCTGGCCATGCACTCTACATTCTGGTTTGCTGCCATCTAAAGCCCCACCTCTACCTGCTCCAAGCTCTGCTGACATAGCTGCTCTACTACCTCAACTGCCTTCCCATGAAACTGAACCAAAGGAAAACCCCCATCCCTTCAACTTAAATTGTCAGAGGAAAATGTACATATGCAATGTTTTCATCATTAAGACAATTGCTTTTTTTATGAGAAAGTAATTTTATTAAATTATAAAAGTTTCCATTTCCGCCCCTCCTCCCAACACCCTCCCACTCCCCCCACTCCCTCTCCTCCTCCCTCTCCATCCCTAAGAGCAGTCAGGGTTTCCTGCCCTGTGGGAAGTTCAAGTTCCTCCCCACTCCCTCCAGGTCCAGGAAGGTGAGTATCCAAACAGACTGGATCCCCAAAATCCAGTATATGCAGAGGAAACAAGTCCCAGTGTCATTGTCAATGGCTTTTCAGAAAGACTTCGGGCCAGCCACATTCAGAGAATCCGGCCTCATTCAGAGAATCTGGTTGGATCACGTCCTCGTTCAATCCCAGTCCAACTGGCCTTGGTGAACTCTCATTAGATCAGTCCCCTTGTATCAGTGGGTGATCGCATCCCTCGCAGTCCTGATTTCCTTTTTCATTTTCTTCCTCCTTCTGCTCCTCATTTGGACCTTGGGGGACCCAGTCCGGTGCTCCAACGTGGGTCTCCGTCTGTATCGCCATCCATCGTCGGATGAAGGTTCCTTCTGGTCTTGTCTTCTTTGCTCACGTTCTCTTTCCTTCTGCTTCTCGTTTGGACCTAGGGAGTTAAGTCCAGTGTTCCAATGTGGGTCTCTGTCTCTATCTTCATCCATCGCCAGATGAAGTTTCTATGGTGATAAGCAAAATATTCCTCAGTATGGTTATGGGCCAAGGCCGGTTCAGGCACCCTCTCCTCTGTCCAGAGAACAATCTGGGGATCTCTCCTTGGACCTGGGATCCCATATATAATCAAGTGTCCTGCAAACCCTAAAATGACTAACTTAGTTGAAATATATTATTCCGTGATCCCATATTCATCCTTTTTCCCTCCCCCCCATCCCAGTCCACCCAGCTTTCCCCATTCCACCCCTACTCCCTTCTCTCTAACCCTCTCCCCTTGCAACAACCCTCCCCCCCATGCACTCGAAGTTACCTGGGACTCTTGTCTATTTCCTATATCCTGGAGGATAGCTAAATAATCTTCATCAGGTTCACCTTCTTATTTAGCTTCTCTAGGATCACAAATTATAGACTCACAGACCTTTAATTACGGCTAGAATCTACTTATGAGTGAATACATACCATATTCCTCTTTTTGGGTCTGGCTTACCTCACTCAGTAAAGCGTTTTCTATGTCCATCCATTTGCATGCAAAATTCAAGATGTCATTGTTTTTTACCGCTGAGTAAAACTCTAGTGTATATATGTTCCACACCTTCTTTAACCATTCTTCTATTGAGGGGCACCTAGGTTGTATCCAGGTTCTGGCTATTACAAATAGTGCTGCTATGAACATAGTTGAACAAATGCTTTTGTGGTATGACAGGGCATCTTTTGGGTATATTCCCAAGAGTGGAATTGCTGGGTCTTGAGGGAGGTTGACTCCCAGTTTCCTGAGAAACCGCCACACTGATTTCCACAGTGGCTGCACAAGTTTGCATTCCCACCAACAATGGATGAGAGTTACCCTCTCTCCACATCCTCTCCAGCATAGGCTATCATTGGTGTTTTTGACTTTAGCTAATCTGACTGGTGTAAAATGGTATCTCATAGTTGTTTTGATTTGCATTTCCCTGATCACTAAGGATGTTGAGCATGACCTTAAGTGTCTTTTCGCCATTCGGAGTTCTTCTGTTGAGAATTCTCTGTTCAGTTCAGTACCCCATTTTTTAATTGGGTTAATTAGAGTTTTAGTGTCTAGTTTCTTGAGTTCTTTGTATATTTTGGAGAACAGACCTTTGTCTGATGAGGGGTTGTTGAAGAACTTCTCCGAGTCAGAAGGTAGCCTTTTTGTCTTACTGACAGTGTCCTTTGCTTTACAGAAGCTTCTCAGTTTCAGGAGGTACCATTTATTCATTGATTCTCTTATTGTCTGTGCTACTGGGGTTCTACCTAGGAAGTGGTCTCCTGTGCCTATGTCTTGTAGACTACTTCCCACTTTCTCTTCTATCTGGTTCAAAGTGGTCAGATTAATGTTGAGGTCTTTAACCCATTTGAACTTGATTTTTGTACATGGTGGTAGATATGGATCTACTTTCATTCTTCTACAGGTTGACATCCTGTTATGCCAGCACCATTTGTTAAAGATGCTTTCCTTCTTCCATTGCATACCTTTAGCCCTCTGGTCAAAAATCAAGTGTTCATAGGTTTGTGGGTTAATACCTGGGTCTTCTATTCGATTCCATAGGTCGACTTCTCTGTTCCTATGCCAGTACCAAGCTGTTTTCAAAACTGTAGCTGTGTAATAGAGTTTGAAGTCAGAGATGGTTATACCTCCAGACGTTCCGTTATTATATAAGATTGTTTTGGCTATCCTGGTTTTTTGGTTTTTCCATATAAAATTAATTATTATTCTCTCAAGGTCTGTGAAGAAGTTTAATGGGATTTTGATGGGGATTGCATTGAATCTATAGATTGCTCTTGGTAGAATTGCCATTTTTACTATGTTGATCCTCCCAATCCAAGAGCAAGGGAGATCTTTCCATTTTCTGGTATCTTCCTCAATTTCTTTCTTCAAAGACTTAACGTTCTTGTCAAATAGGTCTTTCACTTCCTTGGTCAGAGTTATCCCAAGATATTTTATGCTATTTGTGGCTATCGTGAAAGGTGAAGTTTCTCTGATTTCCCTCCTTGCTTCTTTATCCTTTGTGTATAGGAGGGCCACTGATTTTTTGGAGTTGATCTTGTATCCTGCCACGCTACTAAAGGTGTTTATCAGCTGTAGGAGTTCTTTGGTAGATTTTTTGGGTTCGCTCATGTATACTATCATATCGTCTGCAAATAACGAGAGTTTAACTTCTTCCTTTCCAATTCGAATCCCCTTGATACCCTTATGTTGTCGTATTGCTATTGCTAGAACTTCTAGCACTATATTGAAGAGGTATGGGGAGAGTGGACAGCCTTGTCGTGTTCCTGATTTCAATGGAATGGCTTTGAGTTTCTCTCCATTCAGTTTGATGTTAGCTGTCGGCTTGCTGTAAATAGCTTTTATTATATTTAGGTATGATCCTTGTATCCCCAATCTCTCCAACACCTTTATCATAAAGGGATGTTGGATTTTGTCAAATGCTTTTTCAGCATCTACTGAAATGATCATATGGTTTTTTCTTTCAGTTTATTTATATGATGGATTGCATTGATGGATTTGCATATGTTGAACCAGCCCTGCATCTCTGGAATGAAGCCTACTTGATCATAATGGATAATATTTCTAATGTGTTCTTGGAATCGGTTTGCCAGGATTTTGTTGAGAATTTTTGCGTCGATGTTCACGAGTGAGATTGGCCTGTAATTCTCTTTCTTGGTTGTGTCTTTATGTGGTTTTGGTATCAGGGTAACTGTAGCTTCATAAAAAGAGTTTGGCAATGACTCTTCTGTTTCTATATTGTGAAATACCTTAAGGAGTATAGGTATCAGCTCTTCTTGAACGTTCTGGTAGAATTCTGCATTGAAACCATCTGGCCCTGGGCTTTTTTTGGTCGGGAGGTTTTTGATAACTGCTTCTAATTCTTCACGACTAACATGTCTATTTAGATTGTTCACCTGGTCTTGATTTAACATTGGTAAATGGTATTAATCTAAAAACCAATTCATTTCTCATACATTTTCCAACTTTGTGGCATATAAACTTTCGTAGTAAGATCTAATGATTCTCTGAATTTCCTCTATGTCTGTTGTTATGTCCCCCTTTTTCATTTCTGATCTTATTAATTTGGGTGTTCTCT